TGATTCACTCAAACACTCGCTGATTCACTCACACACTCACTGATTCACTCACACACTCTCTGATTCACTCACACACTCACTGATTCACATACACACTCACTGATTCACTCACACACTCACTGATTCACATAAACACTCACTGATTCACACAAACACTCACTGATTCACTCAAACACTCGCTGATTCACTCACACACTCGCTGATTCACTCACACACTCTCTGATTCACTCACACACTCACTGATTCACTCACACACTCACTGATTCACTCACACACTCACTGATTCACATAAACACTCACTGATTCACATAAACACTCACTGATTCACTCACACACTCCCTGATTCACATAAACACTCACTGATTCACTCACACACTCACTGATTCACTCAAACACTCACTGATCCACACAAACACTCACTGATTCACTCAAACACTCGCTGATTCACTCACACACTCACTGATTCACTCACACACTCTCTGATTCACTCACACACTCGCTGATTCACACAAAAACTCACTGATTCACTTACACACTCACTGATTCACATAAACACTCACTGATTCACTCACACACTCCCTGATTCACATAAACACTCACTGATTCACTCACACACTCACTGATTCACTCAAACACTCACTGATCCACACAAACACTCACTGATTCACTCAAACACTCGCTGATTCACTCACACACTCACTGATTCACTCACACACTCTCTGATTCACTCACACACTCACTGATTCACATACACACTCACTGATTCACTCACACACTCACTGATTCACATAAACACTCACTGATTCACACAAACACTCACTGATTCACTCAAACACTCGCTGATTCACTCACACACTCGCTGATTCACTCACACACTCTCTGATTCACTCACACACTCACTGATTCACTCACACACTCACTGATTCACTCACACACTCACTGATTCACATAAACACTCACTGATTTACACAAACACTCACTGATCCACACAAACACTCACTGATTCACATAAACACTCACTTATTCACTCAAACACTCACTGATTCACATAAACACTCACTGATTCACACAAACACTCACTGATTCACACAAATACTCACTGATTCACTCACACACTCGCTGATTCAACCACACACTCGCTGATTCACTCAAACACTCACTGATTCACATAAACACTCACTGATTCACTCAAACACTCACTGATCCACACAAACACTCACTGATTCACATAAACACTCACTGATTCACTCAAACACTCACTGATTCACACAAACACTCACTGATTCACACAAACACTCACTGAATCACTCAAACACACAAACACTCACTGTGATTCACTCAAACACTCACTGACTCACTCAAACACACAAACACTCACTGTGATTCACTCAAACACTCACTGATTCTCTCACTAATTCACTCAAACACTCACTGATTCACTCAAACACTCACTGATTCACTCAAACACTCACTGATTCACTCAAACACACAAACACTCACTGTGATTCACTCAAACACTCACTGATTCACTCAAACACACAAACACTCACTATGATTAAATCAACACTCACTGATTCACTCACTGATTCACTCAAACACACAAACACTCACTGTGATTCACTCAAACACTCACTGAATCACTCAAACACACAAACACTCACTGTGATTCACTCAAACACTCACTGATTCACTCAAACACTCACTGATTCACGAAAACACTCACTGATTCACACAAACACTCACTGATTCACTAAAACACTCACTGATTCACACAAACACTCGCTGATTCAATCAAACACTCACTGATTCACTCACTGGTTCCTGTGTGTGTGTGTGTGTGTGTCTCACCCAACCACTTGTAGAAGAAGTACATGAGCACGAGCATCCCACACATCATGCCCACGAACATCAGCACCTTCAGAGGAGAGTAGAGCGAGAGTTCACTGCTGTCGGCCCGATCCTCACACGCCTCTGACGACGGGCCCGCCGCCAGCTTCGCCCTGCGCACACACACACACACACACTCGCGTCACACTCGCGTCACATGACTCGTGCTCTGGCCTGAACCGGTGACGTCACTCACTTCTCGGCCGCTCCGCTCCAGAACCCGCCCATGGTCACCGTGAACACAGCGATCAGAAACATGATGATGATGCTGGCGTCAAACGCAGGCACAGGGGGAGCGTATAACCTCACCTGCATCCCCTGAGGAAACACCTGACACACACACACACACACACACACGTGTTAATATTCAGTATTATTATTACTGAATCACTGACACTATCACTCAACAACAAAACTTGATGGATCTGAATTATGACTCTTGTCTTCAGTGGAGCTGCTTTACAGCTGAATCTAAATTATACCTGATGAACATCTTGTGTGTGTGTGTGTATGACTCACACACACACACACTCACACACACTGTCTCATCTTCACCTGCAGCGCGTCCAGGAAGTCCCGGTATCTCAGCAGGGCCAGAGGAATCTTCACCTTAATGAGCTCGGAGTCGTTGGCTGACGGCGACACCTGGTAAGATCAAGTTCACACACTGAGGACTCACACGGGTGTTCGTGAGGACTTACGCTGGTGTTTCAGCTCTTACCAGACCGCTGTTGCTGGCGATCAGAAGCACAGACGCACCCAGACTCTGAGCAATATCAGCTTTCTGACTGAAATCACAGCCTCCATCCATCACGACCACAGCCTGACCCGTCACCGAGAGCGGGGTCGCATGAACCGGCGCACACAGCTGAGTGGACGTCAGGTTCACCAGGGAATACACCGACTACACACACACACAGTTGAACAGGTCAATTGACAGATTTGTAGTACTCAAACTAATATAAACTTCCAGCATTATTAAAGACAAGTTAATAAACAAGAACTATTAGAAATCACATCAAATAGACAAAATTGAGAAAAGATACGACTGTAATAAACAGTGTTCTAAGAATTTCAGGTTCAGAAACTGTAATCAATTTTAAAATAACATTGCGGTTTATAAATAAAATATACAACATTACAATATACATTATTTACAACAGTCTTGTTTGATTAGTGTTATTATAGAGCTGGCAGGAATATTAGTGCTGTGGGTTTAATACACACACAAGGACCGAACACAGAGTCTCTCGCTCGAACACTTTAAATTCATATTGAAATGTTCAGAAACGAATTGATGAGAGGAATCGAAATTTAAATTTGATAACAAGTATCCGATTCCTGACCTCAAGTATTCGAATTACGATTCTCAAACCTACACATAACGGTCCTGTTATTTAAAAAAAAAAAAAAACCCTCATGATTTCAAGTAAATAAGACATGATTTTGATCGCTAAAATGTAAGCATTAAAATGTAGTTCTGAAAAATTCAAACAGAATTTGGGAATGAATCTTTCCCGGCCTGACTCTCTCACCGCTGCACTCAGGCTGTCGGAGATGTTGCTAAAGGACGAGTTGAACACCAGACAGTATTCTCTGAATGTAGATCCATTAGACTTAGACGCGTGCAGAATCGCCTCCTGACTGGCGCTCTGTGAGAGAAACACACAAACACTAGCATTATTACTTAAACACTCCCTGTGATTCACACAAACGCTCACAGATTCACACAAACACTCGCTGATTCACTCAAACACTCGCTGATTCACTCAAATACTTGATAATTATCACAAACACTCGCTGATTCACTCAAACAATCGCTGATTCACTCAAATACTTGATAATTATCACAAACACTCGCTGATTCACTCAAACACTCGCTGATTCAGTCAAACACTCACTGATTCCTTCAAACACTCGCTGATTCACTCAAACACAAGCTAATTCAGTCAAACACTCACTGATTCACTCAAACACAAGCTAATTCAGTCAAACACTCACTGATTCACTCAAACACAAGCTAATTTAGTCAAACACTCACTGATTCACTCAAACACTCGCTGATTCAGTCAAACACTCGCTGATTCACTCAAACACTCACTGATTCAGTCAAACACTCGCAGATTCACACGCAGATTCACTCATACACTCGCAGATTCACTAAAGCACTAGCTAATTCAGTCAAACACTTGCTGTAATACACCAAAACACTCAATTTGATTCAATCAAACACTCGCTGATTCACTCAAACACTCGCTGATTCACTCAAACACTCGCTGATTCACTCATTAATGGCGCTTCAGGATTTCAGACTCATTTTCTGCGCTCACCTGAGAGCAAAACAACACCAGCAGGAGGAATATCGACTCTTTCACCGCCATCGCAGAAATATCCACCTCAAAGCTCGACAGACAGCGAGTTCAGAGGAGTTTCTGCACTCGTAGCTTTTTGAAAATCGCTTTTAAAATCGTAAACTTCCTATCTAAGTTTAGCTTCTGTCATGTTTGTTTACAGTCACTGAGCTACTTTCACTTCCTCTTCCGCGTTTGTTCACTCAATCACGTGACTGACTGTGACGCGTCACGCTAAAGGTCAACCAATCAAAAATAGAAATAAAAGCTCAATTTTTTGCAGTGTCCTCTATTTTCTTCATACGCACTTAATATATGTTCTCCAAGTCTTCCCTCGCAGATCGATGCACTGAATACTTTAGAGCTGGAGTTGAGTTGAGCTTTTTTCAGCTGTAACTCTATTATTATTGTCTGTATTAATCTTAAAACAGAATTTTTATATGGAATAAACAACAAGCAAAATAATACTGCTGATAATAAAGAAAACTTAAAAACATATAAGAACAAAATGTGTTATGCTAAAAAGTAAATATATATATATATATTATTCATATTAACAAGAGCTGAAAGTACTAAAGATAATATCATTATTCATAAGCATGGTCTGGAAATCTCAGAACCTGTAAAACCGGAGCAAACACGCTTGGTTCGTGTGAGGAATGAAGAAGTGTGTGTGTGTGTGTGTGTGTGTGTGTGTGTGATTATAATGCAATGATGTATTTCCTCTTAGAAGTGTGACTGATGAGCTCTCAGAATCAGATGCAAAGTCTTACAAGGTTGTAATTTTATTTAGGCATCAGAATGAAATTGAACACAATTTGTACAAAAATACTTTCCTGTCAACGCGTCCCGTAAGAGCGTTGCACAAATATTACAGTGAGATGCACATTTCAAGTTTACAGCACATTTAAAAGATAAAAACAATAGAGAATAAAGAATATTCCACGAGCCAGGGAACATCGAAGGGACGAGACGAAACAAAAAGCAGTTCCTGCAGACCTAATAAAACAGTGTGTGTGCCTGTGTGTGTGTGTGTGTGTGTGTGTGGCCCAGCCACTGTTTAACCATGACATGAATCCAGCTTCATGGGAAGTGTAATCAGTCGTCACACACTCTCCAGCGCTGCAGGTCTTGTGTGAGATCATCATCAGAGCAGTGAAAGAGTAGCAGTGCTTTATTACAGACATATCTACAGCCGTCCGTCCGGCGCCAGTGTCTTCAGATGGACCTCAGCGCCTGCAACACACACACACACACGTGTTACTGCAGGAATCTGAGTAAATGCACGTAACAGTAACTCATCAAGCAGTGATATATATATATACTTTATATACTCCTGCCCTACAGAGGCTAAACACCTCATCTCGCTCGTGTGTGGAACTGAGAAAAAACACTTTCAAGATTTTTACTTGTCCCGCCAAATTAATTATAAGTAGAACACTGAAAATCTGGCAATTAGACGTTTAAGAAGTAATGAAAAATATCTTTGTAACACAATTCTGAGCTCAAACTTGACTTTTGAGCAGTATTTTAAAGTTACTGTCCTCTGCCTTTGTATTGTCAGCAGAAGTGAGAAGTCATGCCGAGGCGAAAGCAGTCACTTCCACATGACCAATATCTGGTTACGGATCACAGAATCATTATAGTCACACCTGTATAAAATCTAGAGATCATGGCATTTATTTGACCTATAGCTTCTTATTGAGCTGTGGCTGCATTCTGGTGGCCCTTTGAATACATTAGACTTGACTAAACTCCAGCATGGACAGTTACCGGAGTGAGGAAGCAGCACATGTCTGAGAGAGAAAATAAACAGTTCGAGTTCAATTTCTAGTGCAAAGTTTGTGCAATCTGTTTGTTTTTGTGTAAGAATGACTCAGTCTTGTAATATGGCTTTAAATAATTACTGACTTTATAACAAAGCACTGATATCATGCAGTTTGTGTTAACCCTAAAACCGTATACTGGACTAATGTGGGTGGGCAAAATAGTTTATTTATTTTTAAACAATACTTCCCTTGATCTGAGCGGTTCAAGACTTGGCTACTTTTCCTAAGTTTGCCTCCTGAATTCAATTCTACAATGTTAAGTGGGTGAAAAAACCTCCTTAATCATGTATTTGGGTCAAAAATGGGCACCCATAGAAATGAATGGGAGAAACTGTAATTTAGAGCATTCTAAAATAAGCCAAAATAAGACACCAGGTGACAGCAAAGTCACTTCATCTTTAGGTTTTAGCTCTAAGAACTTATTGGAATGATATTTTAATGTAGTTAAAAAATTTAAAAAAAAATAAAACATAAAAATAAGCATAATTTACATAGAGAATATGGTACTTTTTGAAGTAAATAAATTCAAAAATACCCCCAAAATAAAAAAAACACCATAAATGGATAGACAAAACTTTATCGAAGACAGTGATATAACATTTATAATAAATAAAAATGAGGATCACACCTGAGTCCTCTGTGCCCACATTTGTCCACAATTACAGGATTAAGGCCTATAAAGTGAATACGGTTTGAGGGCTACAATGTGTTTGGGTGGTTTATAATAATTATTATTATTAGTAGTATTTATATAGTGCTTATAACGGTGTCTATTGCAGATTCAGAAGTAATGTCAATAATCAGACTGATACGGTTGCACAGATGTGTGTCAGAGACTTCTCTACACCCTCAACCGTTGTCAAGGCAACACTCCACGTGAGGGGCGGAGTCAGCGAAGCTCATTATCATTTAAAGGCACATGCACTGAAACGGCGTGCTGGAAACGGAGCTGTTTTTGAGTGTTTTCTTACAATAGTAATGAGAATTTTTAATTAAATTATATTACAAACTTTTCATTTAGACCCTTAAGAATCAAATTAAATTGTATAAAAATGGCATTATATGACCAGCGAGCATCATACAGAGTCAGCCAATGGAGGCACATCTCCCAGACTCCATCCGGAATATCTGTGGGCGATCTGTTACTGGAGGACAGAGGATTCATTTCTGTATATTAACATATATATATATATATATATATATATATATATAAGATGAAGAGCTGGAACATGAACTCAGTGTCCAGGAAAACAATAGCAGTTTCTCTCGCAATTCTACGTTTATATTTACAAGTCAGATAAAAACAGTCACAGTTTTCTTTTTTATTTTGTTATTCTGCAAAAAGGGGAAAAACAGAAATGAAAGTAATTGAGATGTAAACGCAGGATTGCGAGTGTAAAGATAAACATTCGGAATAACGAGAGAGAAAAGCATTTCTCTCAAAAAAAACCAAAAAACAGAATAGTGAAATATAAACCGGCACTTCCTTTTTAAAAAGTCTGAATTGCGAGAATTAAAGTTGAAATTGAATAAGAGTCTAGAACACCAGACCCAGGTGAGATGATCATATGAGCAGAAGCGCTCTAGCGGTTAGCGTTACTATAGCGAGTCACCTGACTAGCCCTGAGCCGCCTCCGCCAAGCCGTTCCCGTAGCCGCCTTTAGACTTCATCTGCGCCTGGACCGAGTTCACCTGCACACACACACACACACATTTGTTAGGCAAATGTCCTCAGAGAGTGTGTGAAGTGATTGAGCTCATACGCATGTAAATATGCAGCCGATGGAAAACACGTCCGCTCACAAAAGACATAAATTAGAGGTCAAAATAATCATTAAGATGTTTAATAAGTACACAATAATATTTTTGCATAGATAATGATAGTGTGTGTGTGTGTGTGAGTGTGTGTGTGTGAGACTCACAGCCGGCTGACCCATGTCTCCAGAGCCCACGTGTGTCATATGAACGAAGTTGGTGGGTTCTCCAATCATGGTGCGATCTATCCTCCGTCTCCGCTTCTGGACACACACACACACACACACACACAACAGGAAGAACAGTGAGCGAGACACACGTAGAGTTGAGCGTCTGACGGGTTCGTCTGGATCTGAGTCTCCACACACACACACACTCGCCACGGCGAACCCTCGACCCTCAGCAGCACTAGCGTGTGGTTGTTGTGTGATTGGCGTGTGTGTGTATGTGTTTAGTGTGTGTGTGTGTGTGTGTGTGACTCACGGGTTGCGGCTGCTCAGCGACGCAGCAACTGAAACACACCCAGAACTCTGTCATTCTGCAGCGACTTCCTCCGTCTGCTTTCTTTCTCTCTTCCTGTGTGTCTTACACTGTTGTGCTCTCTCTCTCACACACACACACTCACTCCCTCACTCACACACACACACACATACACTCTCTCTGTCTCTCTCTCTCTCTCACACACACACACTGTGTTCTCTCTCTCGTCTGCCGGAAACTGTTTCAGCTTCTGAACGAGAACATGTGAGGCGTCGCTGACGGGGCCCTCCTGAAAGATCAAGCACATCAGCATCAACACACACACACACACACACACACACACACACACACAAGTTAAGTCACCTTTTATACAGCGCTTTAACAATATAGAGTTTCACAGCGGCTGTACGGTGATAACAGGAGATTACAGTCACAGAGAGTGTTTCGGCTTTACAGCAGATCTACAATAAAGTTATTTTACAGTTACACAGCTACAGCTCACACACACACACACACACACACACATGGTCTCTGTCTCATAAATAAGTGGTTGTACAGCTGAAAAAACTGTTATTTTGTGAAATATTACTCCAGTGTTAATCAGCTGTTTCTATGTGAATATACAGTAAAGTGTAAGTTTCACAGTTTCCACACAAATATGAACTGATCAACACTGATAATAATCATAACTGTGTGTTGATCATCAGATCCTCATATTAGAGTGATTTCTGAAGGGTCATGTGACACTGAAGACTGGAGTAATGATGCTGAACACAGGAATAAACTACACTGTACTGTATTTTTACCCACAAAACCATTAAACTTCAGATTAAAATCGATTTCTTTATTATCAGATCAAATCTGAGTCTCACGCGACAGAATCTTATTTGATGGTAGATATAATATTGCGGTCTAGAGTTCTTACACACGTAAAAAGCTGTTAAATATTAAATAAATCATTTCTTTTCATCTAATATGAACAAATACAGACGCGCAGCAGGAAACCTCAGCCACAAATTAGCATGCTAACAATCAAACAAGTTCACGTTCAGCAGTTTAAGGAACAACATACATTTGAGTTGAAAAGACAAGCTTTAATTAAATAGCTCGGGCAAATATAAGTACTTTTAATCAGAAATGTTTAAATAAAACGGGAAGATGTGATGTCTTACCTCGAGCACTTCCTGAAAGTGTCTGTCAGAGTGCTGACGCTGACTCCGCCCACTTCCGCCGCGCTCCGCACAATGAATCATGGGACATGTAGTTTACTGTGTTGGTAGCGCAGCATTAACCTCAAATATTGTTTAACGTCATTTTAATTTCAAAGAACAAAAACAAGACAAACCGCCAGGGTTTCCATGAACACGAGAGGAAAGTTTGCCGGATGAAAACGCGCTGTTTGTCCGCTAGGGGGCGCCGCGAATGTAAAGTGTCATGGGGAACTACAAAACATGAACTTATTTACAGGATATATAAAATAGTTAAAATATGCGCTGCTTTCTGTTTGTAAGAACTTGATTAATCAATTAGAATCAGCCTGGATACCATAATAATTTATATTTTAAACATTTATAAAGCTTAATTTTGAGGCTCATGGCAGTTGCATAATTTGAAGTGTTTGTTTTGTGAAGATTTGTGTGGAATGTGGATCCAACTGAGTCCATGTAAGGAATAAGCAGACCAGACCATAGACTGTAAAAAATATGACAGACATGTAAAATTAGCAGAAGGAAAACAACAATAATCTATGAATAATAAGCTATATTTTATTGAGTGAGTTTTCTTCATGTAATAAACATAATGTAACACTTTACAATTACGTCCCATTAGTTAATCAACTAATATTAACTAACAATGAACAATATATTTGTCACAGTTATTAATCTTTGCTAACGTTATTTAATAAAAACACTGTTTCGTGTTAGTTAAGGTCCGTTAAATAATGTTAACAGATACAACTTTTAAAGGTCAAAAGAAAACAAAGATTCATACATTTTGAAATATCAGCCTTTTTAGCCATATATATATATATTAAAAAATTCCATGCTCGGATTGCAAAAAAAAGGAAAATCAGGAAGCACAAAAATATCCTGCGCACCCACGCTGGGCGGGGCTTAACCCGGAGAAGGATCCGGCTCTCTGATTGGCCAGGGTGTGGCTTCCACTGGGCTGCTGGGTTTATATAGCCAATCAGCGCGCAGCAGAGGGTAGTGTCTCAGCTGTCGCGAGCGCTCCAGTTTCTCTCTGTGGAAGATCGCGAAGAAGCGCCATCGTCCAGCTTTCACTAAACGTCATGGAGGACTCTAGTAGTTGACATTTCCTTTAACCTTCTCTTTTCACGCTTTCCTTCGTACGGTCATCGGTCCGTAATCGGTGTAATCCACGAACTTTCTCTTGCGTCTCTCTCGGTTTGAGGATGAAGCTCATCATCGGCATCGGAGGGTGAGTGAGTGAGCGAGCGCGTGCTCGATGCAGACCGCGTGGTGCGCGCGACCTCTCGTTATTTTTGGGAAACAAATCTCCATAGCAACCGCGTTTCCCGCCAGAGTGCCACACAGCCGCGTCTGAAATACGTTACAAAGATTCTGAGGTGTTGTTAATTCATTAATTCACACACAACTAAAATCAGTGTCATGAAGTAATAACGCTTCAGACTTTTCGAAACGTCTTTTAAACAGTAAAAATAGTATCTTTGAGAAATTACAGATTACTTGGGTAAAATAATGTAACGGTTACTTTAGTTGATTCGCAGTTTGTGTAATTAATGTGTTGTGTTTTAATGCCTGTGATGTTTTATGGTTCTTTCCGAAAGACTACAGGTGAAATTAGCCATTTGTGCTATCTTCTATAGTAATAATAATAAACTTTGTTTTATTTAGCGCCTTTTAAAGCAGCTTCTCAAGGCACTCACGTCAGAATAAAATACAAAGCATACAAGAAAATTATTTTAATAACCATCAAGAAAAACCTAACATAAAACAATGAGTACATAAAATAATGTCCAGTAAAGGTGTGGTGTTTTGGTCCTGAATGATTGACACATTCATATATAATAACATGTTCATAACACATGATGTGCTGCTGTGTTTCAGGGTCACTAACGGCGGTAAGACCACGCTGACGGACGGCCTGATCAAGAGTTTGCCGAACTGCTGTGTGGTTCATCAGGACGACTTCTTCAAGGTCAGTGTGAACAGAAACCGCTTCAGCTTCAGCTCCAGGGCTGGGCAGCGACAAAAGCTTCATTAGCGTCAATATACACTTCTATTGGCTTCGATAACGCGTTTGAAACATAATTTAGACATAACTGACTCCCGATTCGTTTTTCAGAGATATATGTATCAAAACTGACTATCGAGTTTATGGACACTGAACGGCTTTAAACGTGACACTTGAGTACTTAAGTTTGACTTTTTGACATGAAGTCCTGAAAAACCCTTGAAAACAGACGTATTTACAAAGAGGACTTTGAAAATTGTTTGACTTGTGTTTTGCGTATGAAATAAAAAAAAATATTGAAAACGCACAAATACAATCTCTTCATGCCAAATGAACACTGTGTGATAAACCCCCATCAGACCTTTGGATATGACGTACACCAAAATTATAATATGAAATATTATTTATTGAACAATAATAATAAACTTTATAATGAATACGTTGTATTTTGACCATCTTATATCTGTAATTTGAGTTTTTAAAAATCCTTAAATACTGCGATCTCGGATTATAGTCCTGGAATGTAATTTTACAGTGTGTGTATGAACCGTTTATTGACGTCTTTCCGCGGTTAAACTCTGATTTCAGGAAGTTGTTCTGAATCTTCCAACATTCCTTCTGATGTTCATCATGTTCATTCGCTGCTAGTAGTAAAGAGCTGATCACTTCAACATTAAAGAGACGCAAACACACATTTACTGACTGAACTTCATCATGAAACTGACAGAAATCGAAAGCTTTCATATCAAAACGATCATATCATTTAGTGTGTATTACTGGTTCCGCATCTAAAAGCGGTGTCCCCTTAAAGCGCGTGGCTCGTCTGTCGACCCGGCCCTGGTCAGCTGACCCGCATTAGCGCTGGTGATGATCACATCCACACAGTGCGTCTCATTGGTGTGTTTCAGCCCCAGGATGAGATTGAAGTCGATGACGATGGCTTTAAGCAGTACGATGGTAAGCCAAGGGCTTGTGTGTGTGGTTCTGCATGTTCATTTGAAGCGGTGCGGCGTGCTCACGTGTGTGTGTGTGTGTGTGTGTGTGTGTGCGCAGTCATCAGCGCTCTGGACATGGACGCCATGATGAGCACCATCACTGCATGGCAGCAGAACCCGGTGAAGTTCGAGAGATCTCACGGTGTCAACAACAGCCTGGACGCCGAGATCCTGCCGCGCTCCCGAGACGACGTGCACATCCTGATCGTGGAGGGTTTCCTGCTCTACACCTACGGGTGAGCGACACACACACACACACACCTGAACACCCCAAACACACTGCGCTTGCACTGAACGCCTCTCTCTCCCGCAGACCTTTGATCGATGTGTTCGACCAACGATACTTTATTTCCATTCCATACGAAGAATGCAAAAAGAGGAGGAGGTGAGTGAGCTGATCTCTGTGTGTGTGTGTGTGTGTGTGTGTGTGTCACCGGATGCGTTTTAGAGGACTCCACACACACCTGATCTCACTGTGTGTGTGTGTGTGTGTGTGTGTTTCAGCTCAAGGAACTATGCCGTGCCGGACCCCCCCGGACTCTTCGACGGACACGTCTGGCCCATGTATGTCAAACATACTAAAATCATGGAGGACTCCGGAGTCGATGTTGGTAAGTGTGTGTGTGTGTGTGTGTGTGTCGATGTTGATAAGTGTCGTACTTTGTAGGGCTGTCAAATGATTAATCACAATGAATCGCATTCAAAATAAAAGTTTGTGTTTACATAATATATGTGTGTGCACTGTGTATAATTATTTTATATATGTGTATATTTAAGAAATATTTTAATGTATATACTGTATATAGATGTAATTTATATATGTAAATATAAATATTTTATATAAAAAAAAATTTTTCTTAAATATATATGCATGTGTGTGAATTTTATATATATATATATATATAATAATTATACACAGTGCACCCACATATATTATGTAAACACAGACTTTTATTTTGGCTGCGATTAATTGTTTGACAGCCCTATTCTTTGAGGTTTTGCTACTAATATTTTAATATATTCCTTAAAAAATGGATGCGCTCCGTTGAGTATGATTGTTTTTATATGATGAGGAAACATACACATAAAACACGTTCGTGACAAATAATTACGGCATAAAGTCAAAAAATGACGTATTGAGTCAAAATTATTACTATAAAGTTCATAAAACTTTGTTGTTAAAATGTTGAAATTACAAACTAAGCTGAAGTAAGTAATTAAAGTAGAAGAAAAATATGACAACTTGTGTCTAATTATTGAATTATGGCATTGACAAAAATGTCATAATAGGTAGCGATTGACATTAGAGATGGGCATTCCAGGACATTTTCTTAGTTGATCGTTGGGAGAATTAACGATCGATTATCGATTAATCAATACGATTTTTATTTTAAAGTGTAATATTTATTTCGGTACGGTAACTCGCAGGTACGGTATGATTGTGATATTGAAATTACGAAACCATGTCATAATTACTACATAAAAAGTCCAAATGATTCCATAAAAGTCAATGTATTTAAGTTGTAATAAAAAAGACAAAAGGTCAAAGTAATGAAAAGTTGAAAGTTGACAAACTGAAATAAATGAAGCGCCGGAATGAAAGTGTGTGTGTGTGTGTGATCCAAATATTTTACACCAGGAAGTGATGATTTGAACACACAGGAAACACTGCTCTATTCACACACACACACACACACACACACTGATCCTCACTGACGGAGTGTTTACTCGATGTGTGTTTCAGTGCAACTGGACGGGACCATGTCGAAGGAGCGGCTGTACAACATCGTGTTCGGGAACATCCTGAACCGCATCCAGAAGGACCGGCCCTGAACCAGGTACCGCAGTGTCTGAACGTGTGTGTGTGTGTGTTTCTGTCCCCTGATCATGTGACGTGTGTGTTTCTGTCGCCTGATCATGTGACGTGTGTGTGTGTTTCTGTCCCCTGATCATGTGACGTGTGTGTTTCTGTCCCCTGATCATGTGACGTGTGTGTTTTCTGTCCTCTGATCATGTGACGTGTGTGTGTTTCAGATCTGATGGGCCTCTGCAGGAGCTGTGCTCGTATCGACTCCCGCCGGCAGCGTTTACTCCATTGCTGTTGTTTTTTATCAGTTTTTATATCCTGTATTTATTGCTCTCCGCCGTTATACGGCTCGTCTGTCGACATCCGGACGGAGACGCTTCTATGCATGGCTGCAGACACAAGCACAAACAAATAAACAAAGCTCCTGCAACACCATCTGTGTGTGTGTGTGTGTGTGATTCATCCCAAACCCAGAAGAAGGAGCGTTCATCTACTGTTCAGTGTGTACATGCTAACGGTGGCAGTGTGTGTGTGTGTGTGTGTGTGTGTTCTATCGGCTCCTTATAACTGGATGATTAGTATAGACTTTATTATTCTGGCCACTAAACCCAAGCAGCGCCATTAATAGAGTCAGGAACACAACACTGGGAATGAGGCTCTTCCCTCCAGATGTGGAGGCTGTGTGTGTGTGTGTGTGTGTGTGTGTGTTTACCTCGGTCAGTGAGAGCAGAGCTGTCATTATGGCTTCAGTCGTGTGTGTGTGTGTGTGTTCTTGAGCTTTAAACACACCCTGTCTGCGACTGATAACTGCAGTATCTCACGACTCAACGTTTCACTGGAAACATGATCAAACTCACTGATCTTAAGTGTGTGTGTGTGTGTGTGGAGCGCTCCTGGGTGAAACATGGGTTATTCATCCTTTGAGTGAAGTCTGTGGAAGCACATTATAAAACAATAAACTAATGCTTTTGTAAATCATACAAAGTTGAAATAATGGCATCTCTTATCACTTAAAATGATGAAATTATTACAATCTAAGCTGAAATTATGACAATTTTTAAATTATATAAGTCTTAATTATGACAAACCAAGTCAAAATGATGATGTAATTATGACAGAAATGTTAAATGACATAAAAATACATGAAGAGTTCGGATGCAAAAGCCTCTAAGTACCATTTGAAATTTTCTTCTATAATGATCATTTTTTTTATCAAGCAATATATTCAAGTTCAGTAATTTCACTTAAATGACAATTCATAGGTAATCTTGATTGCAATTTAAGTGAAATCACTGAACTTAAACATACAAGCTTGATAAAAATGATCATTCTAGAAGAAAATTTCAAATGGGACTTAGAGGCTTTTGCATCTGAACTCTTCATATAATTCAGATATAAAAAGTAGCAATTGCCATACTAAATCAAGAATATGACAAAAATTCTATATTATGATATAAAAGGTTGAAACTATGGCAAGGTAAATTATAACTACAACATAAAAAGTAGCAATTGACACACCAAGTTAAAATTATGACAAAAAGTCTAAATGATTGTGAAATGTATTGATAAAAAAGTCATAATTTCAATTTGATAATCCTATAATTATGAATTAATGTCACAATTTTGACTTTTATATCATAATTATGAGGTTTTATGTTATAATCAGGATGTACTGATGTACACACACACAACCTCTGGAAAGATGACACACACAGGTGCTGAACACGGATGTTTTTCTCTCTCTCACACACACACACTCCCTCTCTTACACACACAACCTCTGCAAAGATGACACAGAGGTGCTGAACACACACACACACACACACACACACACACACACACACACACACACACACACACACACACACACATGTTAACGCTCAGTAAATAAAGAGATGAGCAGAGCTGGACTCTCCCTGACGGACTCGCTCATGTGTGATGAAGTTCATCATCAGTTCTGTTATATTTCTACAGTGTTATACTGATATATTATATATATATATTTGTGTGACAGTGAGTCGATCTTTACAGTGGAGATAATGACTGACGGAGGAATCGCACAGAGAATCTAAAGTTGAGATACATACATTTACAAATGAATGAATAGTCGATCCCACTAACCCTATCTTTACCTCTCAGCAGTGTAGAGCTGAGCTGAGCTGTTCATATCATCTTCATCTCTGTAAACACTGTCCAGACACTCCTCAGCGGTGCCTGACCTCCCCGACCACTGAAACCCTGACGCATCACACACACACACACTCACACACACACACACACACACACACACTCTGAACCTCCTCACAGAAAACACCAGTGTGTGTGTGTGTGTGTGTGTGTGTCATCCGTGTGTTTAGCACCTGTGTGTCATCTTTCCAGAGGTTGTGTGTGTGTGTGTGTGTGTGTGTGTAACTACAGGAGTGTGAACTCAAATAAATAACATGTTAAACATGAGAGTATTAAGTATTTTCTCCTCATATTCGTCATGAACGGTCGAGAGTGTAGAGTTGTGTGTAGAACTGAAGCTTTATTCTACGAGTGTGTATCCAATTGTTGAGTCAGAGTTTGTGTTTATCAACACACACCTCCTCCCGAGTCCTTGCTCTGCTTCAGGTTCAGTGGCTCACACTCCTGCGGTGTCACACACACACACTGCGTAAACAAAACAATAAATCCTTGTGTTGGAAACTTTCACTGACAGACGAGAAAACAACCTCAGAATCCTGATCAACAACAGCGCAACAATGCCTGTGTGTGTGTGTGTGTGTGTGTGTGTGTGTGTGTGAGAGAGAGAGAGAGAGAGAGAGAGAGAGAGAGAAGAGAGAGAGAGAGAGAGAGAGAGAGAGAGAGAGAGAGAGAGAGAGAGAGAGAGAGTGTGTCTCTCTCTCGGACATGAACATGTTAATCTAGTGTTTCTGCATTTCCTCTCAGTGAAACCGCTGCATTTTTCAGCACATGTGCATTAGATTCATTTAGACTCATATGAGATTATATATTTTGAGAGCCACAGTCCACACACACACACACACACACACACCGGAACATCTCAGAAGCTGCTAATATGCAGTTAGAATGTTGATAATCTGTTTCAGGATATGACGGACATATACACTTTTATCGAGATCCAAAAACCCATTCACTGCCATTATAAAGCTGGGACGCGCAGGACATTTATTAATATAACTCTGATTGTGTTCGTCTGAAGGAGAGAGTCACACACACACACACACACACACACACACGATGGGTCAGGGATGGGACAGTAAATCAGTTGATTCGCATATTTGGGTGAACTATCACTTTAAGAAAGTTAGCAACATTATTTTGATTAAGTTCAACTTAATGTACTAAAATAACTAAGCCTAAAAATGAATAAAAACTATATTAGACATGCTTTTAAAAACTTTTTTAGTTAAAAAACTAAAACTTTAACTACAATTACCATGAAAACATAACATAAAAAGACTAATAGAACCTTACACATGATTGCTGTGGTCCATGAGGAATCTGCCTGTGTGTGTGTGTGTGTGTGTGTGTGTGTGTGTTCCTTCAGTCGAGCAGAATCTAGTTTATTTTACGTCTATATTTGGGATTTGGCGTCTGACACAAACCGTTCCGCCCGTGACGTCACACACCGGCTGAGCCGCAGCCCTTCTTCTTTTTTTTATTATTATTTTATTTTATTCATTTTTGTTATTGTCTTTTTTATTGTTTTGATTGTTATTATGTATGCTTTCTCTTTTGTATTGTGTATCCTGTTCTCAGCATTAAAAAAATAATAAATAAATAAAAAATAACGCGAGCGTGACCCCTGACCCCTGCGGCCACTTCCTGTTATGAGCCCGAGCTCACACCCCCACCCAGACAGACGGGTTGTTTACGCAGTCTCACCTCCACATGTGCTCAGCGTCTGCGGCTCCGGGTTTGTGGGTTCGGTTTGTTTTTCTCCTTCAGGCCCAAAAACATCCAAATCCAGAAGCAGATCCAACGCCCGCGCGGAAAGAGGAGCGACACCCTAACCGCTGGAAAACACGACTGTGTGTGTCTGTGTGTGTGATGAACCGTCTCAACAAACATTCAGCAAACAATCATGTTTTCATAAAGGAACATTATAATAATATGTGTGTGTATTTACAGCTGCGCCTCATTAAGTGACGCTGACGCCCGTCTGTAACTGAACACAGCTTTACCGCGAGCTCTGGACATGTTGTGTTAAAGCTTTCCATAGTGTCGTTACACTCATGATGACGCACAGTATCAATCCCATGATGCTCTGCTGCCGCCTGGTGTCCGGCACTCAAACTCACGCTTGCATATGCATATTGAATAAATATTACATGACGTAAGTTTATGAGTCAAGTATGAAAAATATCCGAAACACTTTGCAATAAAGTCTCATGTGTTTGTAAACACGAACTTACAATAAGCAAAGTATTCTAGTTACATTGTCTTTGTTACAGTGTAATTGTACTTTAAATACTGAGGAATATAAGATGATTTTTTATTCCTCTTTTTAGGCAACTTTAGCATGGGTGCCAAAACTTATTCACATCACTGTAAATTAGGGTTAATATACAGTATTTACCAAGGACACTAAAATACATGTTAGTTAATAAAGTACAGTTGTTCATAACAACCTTTGATTTTAGTATGTATTAGTAAATGTTGAAACGAACATTAAATGCTGTTAGATCATGTTAACTAATGTTAGTAATTGTTTTATCACATTTGTGTTTACATTAAAAGAGCATCATGTAAGGTAACAAATGATGTTAATAAAAGAGCACACCAAAGCTTTAACTACAGTTTTATTATTATTTATCTGGATAGAATCACACATGAACATGACGACGATCATGAATCACCAGAGCATCTTTATCACATTTAGTCCCAGAGAATCCAGCTGGTTTGACAGGTTTCTCAGATCTGTTTTAAAGAGGACAGGGGCGGAGTCTGTGTGCAGTGGGCGGGGCCGCAACAGGGGTGGAGTCTGAGTGCAATGGGCAGGTCTGTGACGGGTGGAATCTGTGTGCAGTGGGCGGATTCTTGTGGTGGGCGGGGCTGTGACAGGGGTGGAGTCTGTATGCAGTGGGCGGGGCTGAGCTGAGTGTGTGAGAGGCGCTGGTTCAGGCGTCGCCGGAGCGTTTGGCGGGTTTGGCGACGAGGCGTCTCTCTCGCTCCAGCTCTCTCTCTCTCTGCTGCTCGCGCTCCAGATCTTCCTTCTGTTTGTGTTGCTGCAGCTTCAGCGCTCGCTTCTGCACACATTCATACACTCGTCACTCTTAATCTGCCGGTCCGTCTCAAACGGCAAAGCTTACTAATCCAGGGTAAATTATGGAAACTTGTTTCTGCCACGGAATAAAAATAAAAACAAAGAATTTCCTTTCGGAATCCTGACTTTTCTTTCAATCGTAAACGCAAGTTTATATCTCGTAATTCTGACTTTTTTCTTGTAAACGCAAGTTTATATCTCACAATTCTGACTTTTTCTTGTAAACGCAAGTTTATATCTCGCAATTCTGACCTTTTTCTCTCAATTTGGACTTTTTCTTGTAAACGCAAGTTTATATCTTGCAATTCTGACTTTTTTTTTCGTAAAAGCAAGTTTATAACTCGCAATTCTGACATTTTTCTCTCAATTCTGACTTTTTTCTCGTAAATGCAAGTTTATATCTCGCAATTCTGACTTTTTTCTTGTAAACGCAAGTTTATAACTCGCAATTCTGATCTTTTTCTCTCAATTCTGACTTTTTCTTGTAAACGCAAGTTTATATCTCGCAATTCTGACTTTTTTATCGTAAACGCAAGTTTAAAACTCGCAATTCTGACTTTTTTCTCGTAAAAGCAAGTTTAAAACTCGCAATTCTGACTTTTTTCTCGTAAATGCAAGTTTATAACTCGCAATTCTGACTTTTTTCTCTCAATTCTGACTTTTTTCTCGTAAATGCAAGTTTATAACTCGCAATTCTGACTTTTTTCTCTCAATTCTGACTTTTTTCTCTCAATTCTGACTTTTTCCTCTTAAATGCAAGTTTATAACTCGCAATTCTGACTTTTTTCCTCACAATTCTGATTTCTTTCACACAATTCTGATTTTAAATTTCAAAATTCTTGGAAAAATGTCAGAATAGTTGCCAATTACCCTTTTTTTTTATTTGCTGGCCGAAACAAGTTTCCATAAGAACATGAAGAGCAGTACAGCATGGATCTACAGTAGAGTCCCGCTCAAACCTTTAGTCTGGTCGTCTTGTCGTGCAGAACGATCATTTCTTTGCGAATGTTCACCAGTTTGCTGTGATAAACTTTGGCTTCTGTGAACTGAAACACATCAGCTGTCAGTCAGACGAAGTTTCTACCAGAGAAACCACGCGATTAAAACTCACCAGTGCGTTCAGATCAATCATGGCGTTGCACTCGCGGAATTTCGTGACTTCTTGCTCCAGCGTATCCAGCAAAATAACTTGATTTTGTCTGGAAGGAAGAAAAAATAAAGGATAATTACAGTACAGCAGTGCAGTATTTTGAATTCAAATGTCTTTTTTTGCAGTCTGATGAAATGATGGATCTCATGGACTGAATGAACCAGATCTTCAGTGTTCGTGTGTGTGCAGTGTGATCGTACGTGAGTTCCTGCAGGGTTTGCTTGGAGGCATTGAGCTCCGGCTGATAGTGAGACAGGAATCCTTCAGTCAGTCTCTGGATCGTGTGCTCATCCACACACACCACGTCCTCCATCACCACACACACTGCAAACACACACATCACCATACAACTCGGTTTTTATAAGTAGACTAGCATTTATAGACAAAAAAGCCTTTGTGTGTGTGTGTTCACCTGCACCTGTGTCCTGCTCGCTTTCCTCCTGCGGTCTGTCCATCATCATCACAGCTACCAGCAGCCTCTGTAACACACACACAGAGAGAGAGAGAGAGTTAGATTCCTCATGGACAACAGCAATCATGTGTACGTCACTGATCACATCTGTCTGAACACGAACCCTCCTGAGCGCATCATTCCTGCTGTATTCCCGTCAGATGAATATGATTCTTCTTTTATCTTGTGTATTTAATGGCGGTCAGCAAACATGATGTGATAGTGAAAACGCTTCCAGGAGCGGCTCACAAACATCATGTGACAGAAGCTCATGTGACTGCAGAGACTGTGGCAACGCGACGCGCTGCCACTCTGAGAGCACTTCCGCCTTTAATCACGTGCCGCTGAGCGACGCCTCCGATTGGCGGAACGATTGTACAGGAGTGTTTCAGAGCAGCTTTACAACGATAAACAGGAAAATTATGCATTTGTTAATTCAGATCTCTCATAAAGATAATCTATTATTAAATTAGTTAATTTAATCTATAGTCAGCTCAGTTCAGTTCTCATTCAGCAGCAGGGTATATTTTATATAATATAATATAGGCTACTATCAGATATAGCTTTACTGCTAAGTGACCTTGAACCCAAGGATTTTTTTCTTGATACAACAGTGAAATGTGCTAAAGAGGTATAATATTTTATAATTACATGTTAATTTTGCACATTTTGAACTTGAATGCGCGCGCTGCAGTAAAGCTGGAACGCGCGCAGAGTGGACGCGCTAACATTAAACATTTTCTCATACACACACTTACACACACACACACACACTCACCGAGACTCTGAGATTTTCCCGAACTCACACAGCGATGGACGGAACCAGCGAACGGCGGAGTTTAGGAAGGTTTGTGCTCTTTTAATGATGTTATCGTTGTTTTCAGTGTCAAACACGCGAACGCGCCGAAACACGGATGAACACACGGAACAAACTCTGTGCTTTAGCGGCGAACTGTGCATCATTGTCTCTGAAGTGGATGCTACTTTTTTCTAAATGTCATCAGAATCATTTGTTAACAAACAAGTATTCCCTGCTTCAATGAGAGCATTGCTTCTGCCTTAAATTATTACATTGTTTTAAAGAATACCTTTTTCGCTAACTGTGAAATTACACTACTGACTGGAGCTCAATAGTGACTCTTGTGTTTTAGGGTTGCTCTAATATTTGATGACGGCTCCTGTTGCTCTGTAACAGTGTGTGTTTGGTAAAGCTGAGCTGTTGTGTTGCAGACACCGGCTGTGATTATTGTGTAAAGCGCTATACAAAATAATTGAATTGAATCAACAACACTGAACTGAATGGAGCTCAGTCAGTAGTGTGTTTCAGAGTGGCTTTATTTGACCGTGTGTGTCTTTGAAGACGTTTTTTTGCTACGCTGACCTGAGCTGTTGTGTTGCAGGTAACCTGGCGCTCCGACCCCCGAGACAGTGTCCGTTGTTCCGCTCCAGAGATCCGCTCAGATGCCGGGCCTGATGGGCCGCGTGAGGTCGGTGTTCCGCCGCGAGCCGGAGGACTGGCACCTCAGCGACGCCGCCGCCTTCGACTTCTCCGAGGACCTGGAGGACGACGAGGCGCCCCGGTTCAGCCAGCTGAAGGTGGTGGTGTCAGGAGAGGCGGACGAGTTCCCGGCGGCCAACGGGTCGACGGTCACGCGTGTGTTGGACGATGACGACTCGCTCCTGGGCTCCTCGTCGGGTCTGGTGCCGGAGGCGTGTGAAGGGTGCCGGAGGAGTCGAGAGAGCGAGCGGCGCCGGAGGATCATGAGGAAACTGGGCATCGCTGCTCTGCTCTACTTCCTGTTCATGGTGGGCGAGCTGATAGGTGAGCATCGGGCAGAGTGTGTGTGTGTGTGTGTGTGTGTTGCGTCGCCCACTCCTGTCACTGGGTTTGTCTTCCAGGTGGGTACGTGGCCAACAGTCTGGCCATCATGACGGATGCGCTGCACATGCTGACGGATCTGATCGGGATCGTCGTGTCTCTGCTGGCGCTCTGGCTCTCCGCTAAACCACCGACACACAGGTTCACCTTCGGCCTCCATCGGCTCGGTGCGAACTCTTCTCAGTACACCGGCTCACTCAGGCTTTTCACACTTCAGCTAGTTAACCCTGGGTCAGTCTAAGCCCTGGGTCAGTCTAAGCCCTGGGTCAGTCTAAGCCCTGGGTCAGTCTAAGCAAACCACAACCATCCAATCGTCCAGAAGCGTTTCGCTCGATATACGACACAATAGAGGAGAAAAGACGAGTGTAACTTCCCTTTCATGCTAAAATTAAGCACAGTGTGAAAAGCCCTGTTGTGTGTCTTCCATCTTGCTGGTGTGATGTGCGTCTCACAGTGTGTGTGTGTGTGTGTTCAGAGGTGTTGTCTGCAGGTATTAGTGTGTTGCTGATCTATATCCTGACGGGTGTGCTGTTGAACGAAGCGGCTCAGAGAACGATTCATCAGGACTTCACCATCGACGGAGACGTGATGCTGATCACTGCAGCGGTGGGAGTCGCCGTCAACCTGCTGTGAGTCTCACACACACACACACACACACACACACACACTAGATGGAGACTGAGAAATGAGCCAGACATCGATGCTACTGTGATGTACAGTGTGTGGTTCATTAGTGCCGCAGAGAGTCGAGTGTGTGTCCATCTCCAGGGTGAGGTAGATGAGTGTGTGATGATGAAGGTTCTTGTTTTACTGTCTTCTTCACTGCTCTAAGGCAGTGTGTCCACCAAAGCGTTTTTCCACGCCCCTGGCGTATGTTTTCAATGGGAGCGCCGCGTTTTTAAAATGCCGTGAGCGTACCGAGGCGCTGAGCTTTTTACTGGTCGCTGGGAGTTGAAAAATGTTCTTTGGATAAAACGCAGCGCTCATCACTGTCACATTTTACTCAGCCGTCCAATCACAGTGGAGGAGGGGCGGGACTAATACCACACCGACCAACTGTCACAACATTCAAACTGCTGCGGATATTCAGTATCATAGCAACGAAACGTCTCAACAGAAAAAACGCTGCGCTGCCAAAACGCTCTCAAAGCACGGCGTCTTCCATAGACATATACACTAGACCTCACCTTGGGGTTCTAAGCATCCGTCAAAACCGCCGCCATCTTGGAACAGGGGTCTTGTCATAGGAAGTAGCTAGGTAACGCTGCTATCTCTGCCTTTACTTCGAATTCATTGATGGTGGCGGACTTTTGTGCAGCGTATGATGTTCACGGATGAAATCTGATCTAGGAAGAATGTTTAAAAAAAAAAAAAAAAAAATTTTCTTTCTGGAATCAATGATAAATACATGTCTGACCGTTGGAGCAAACCAAAAAAACAAGAAAAATCGCATTCATGATGATTTATGGTGATTTTAT